AGTAATCCAAGTTTCAATAAAGGTATAAGAACATACCTTTACTTATGTTACGTGAATATCTAACAATGATCGGTTTCATGTAAAGTTCCCATGCGAGAGGTCGTTGACCCTACAAGTGAAAATCACAACGACATAAAATATAGATAACAATAAAAATGACTCGCAAAGTTTTTCATTAGAAATGAAAGCTACTAAAACAATTCAATAGCTTGTTTTACGTACGTTCGCAGATTAATTCAAGTCTCGTATCATTGAAGCTGCGCCGGCGCACGCGCCTTACAGCAAATCATGCCTTTTCTTGGAAACGCTTCAATAGACGTAGATTATTTCTCGTTTTTACGATTTGCAGCCGGAGAAAATCATTTTAGTGTGTATTACGGAATGTGTTTTAATTTACTATTTTGTAATTCTTGAATAGTAATGGGAGTCGATAGAGTCTAACAATGGCCAACTAATCTCAGTACAAACACACGCTCGCTTTCTAACCGCAATGTATGCTAATATAATAATGGAGAAGAAAAGTTAATCTTCAGAGCGATTCCCATTCATTAGTTTAAAAAACTTTCAGCTCGTTACCAACCAATTAAAAGTCGCGTCACTTGCGCCCACGTGTCGTTAATCAGAGCCGAAAGTGACTAGCGAACGTTATCATGGTAATTGTACTTACTACTTGTTTCAAAATAAAGTAATTAATGAGAGAGCACTCTGTATAGTCTGTATCAACACGGAGTCAACACTCGCAGCTGGCCGTCATTGTTTCTAATTTACTATGATAAATGTTTTTTTTAAATGGGCAGCTGTTAGTTGTAAGCCGGTTTCAGGCTTCAATGAAAGATTCAAGGGCAATAGTCGAAAATCGACGGATAACTTGATACAATTGATTCAATGAAGTTCATTACCTATGTAGGTAATTATGTATGTAGAAACAGATGACTAATAAAAATGTTTCTTAAAGAAATTTCAACCTCGTTAATTTTAGAGGGGAATTTGTATAAAATATAGAGATTCATACATACAGTCGTTTGAGTCAAATTATAGCCAGTTAACCGCGTTTCATATTTCAGACTACGATTGTTCCACCCCAATTAAAGCAAACTTTTATATTATACTATGAATTATGCGTCTCGTGCCGAAGAAAGTAACACAACACAATTAGGAATATGAAACTGAAGTTTATAAATTACACATTTTAATATTTATGTGTAACAAGTAAATTTATGTCTGCAAATAGGCTACAAGGCAGCACTACTACACGTCAATTTTTCAAGCGAACGATGAGGTCGATCCTGACATTATGGAGCCTAGATAAAATTAAATAGGTGTAGATAAAACTGGTTTAACGCAGCAAGCCAAGGCATGAGTCTAGCTAGCATATCATGATGAGTATGATCAGTCTTAGATCGCAAATTCGAGATCACGTAAGATTGATATTTCTAATCCTACGAGACCTCGTATAATTTCCCCGGATCAATCCAGAAGCATATATGACGATATCCCGCTCAAGATTGGGTAATAATTTATAAACTCAGCAATTAATGGGAGACAGGAGCCCGTACTAAGCAGAGCCTGCGTTAGGTCTCCTGGCCACTAATAAAAAAAAAACTCAGAGGTTTTTTTTATTAGTGGTTAGTAATTAGAGCAAATCTCGCAGGATCTGATGAGATCTCGTGTATTATCCGAGATTACATTTTCTACTCTTACCCTGTGTTGTCATATAGGTACCTAATAATAAAATACAAGTCAAATTTCAGTCAGGGGGCATAATAAGAGTATTCTCAGTCCTTGATATCATTTGTGATCACTCAACAAATCAGGCAGTCTAAACTTAGTTGAATGGTAGAATAATACTCGGTTTAGATTTGAAGTACGATAAAATTCAATCATTTAAGGCTGGTCAACATAGAGAAAGGGTCAGAAGAGATAGATGATCAGTAATTATTTACGTGGCCAACAAATGTAACATGTGGCCTAAATCGAGCAAATGTTTGTCGAAGGGAAGCCCTTCATGTTTGGCTGTGTTCGCTAGTTCATCAATATCACTTTCACTTTTCCCACAGGCCGGAGAGACCGTAGACCGGTCGGGTCTACACGACTGCATCTCCCGGTGTATCATTTACACGAAACTTTACATTGGTTCAGTTTCCGTAATTTTGATAATAACTTTCTATTCATTTACAAATTAATCAAAACCTTTCTCAACTTCAGTTAACTAGTTTGTATGTTGTCAATAAAGTAGGAATATAACAACAGTCGATGTAACATCCATCTATCATTACTGATTTACTATCTGTTTTGATCAGCACGCTGCTGAAGACAATGGAAAGATGAGGTGTAAAGATATTATGATAAGGATAAGAAGAGCGTGCAGCCGCCACTCCGGGCCGTGTAATTGCTTTACGTGACTTGGCAGCTTTCTCGAGCAGAGCACGCGCACACCATCTAGACCTCTCCAACAACGTGTCACACGTGCACCTCATGTATCCGGAAATATTTGAAAATATTACACTCACCGGTCTTCGGTTAATATTTGTTTTCAAACAAACCCTCGTATTCAATAATTTCTTTGATACGATATTCATCAATAACTTTCCTAAGCCGACACCTTATTGCATATAGCAAGTTTGACATCAGTTACCCACAATCACAATTAACCATACACGCAAGCCTATTAAATAAGCATTTAGTGATTTGCAATAAAAAAAGTAATTGCCGCGAAAACACTAAATCTCCAGTAAAGCGATTGCATTGACTTGCAGATCAGCTCTAGGCAGAAAAGGAAAGTACCATGTAAAGTTGCGAATCATGATACTTTTTGTCGATCATCGTGTGAAATCTGTTCATGACTTTTTACGTATATTTAATACTCGAGCCAACAGACTCGGTCCCGAGAAAGATGGAGACACAGCAGGTGACAAGTCGCGCCGTCAACTGCGCCTGCGTCGCGCCTCATCGTCACGCTTTGTTACCGACGTTTTCTCGTCAATTTATTGATTCGCATATTCCGTAATTACCATAGGTAAATCTAACTATTTATCTATATACATACATAGAAAACTATTAATTTTCATTTATAAATAGTAGAAGAACAAATATGATTGATATTGATTTGACTAAATTCCACTGGTTGAACAAGATATGAGAACCACTTTCTCAGAATAGAATAGAACCTCGAGCGTGGACGTTGATTAATGCGTGTTAAATTGGATAGGAAAGCCCTAGTTGTCTAGGCGCTGATGTATATTTTGACAGAGCAATTAAGTTACATCAAGACATTCATAAGATGCGTGTTTATAATAACTTGCCTTCAGGTGTAGAGATGGTTAAATAAAATCTATTGGTGGTTGAAATTGACTTATGATTTAATTTGTTTTTGTATTTTAATACCTTCATAGCAATGTTACAACTGTTTCCTCAACAAACGCGTCGAATATTTTTTTATGGGATAAGCCGGTAAACAACAGAGCAGACGGCAGCAGATTAGTCTTTAAAAATTGTGATTTAAAAGAATAACATATTAATTTTAAGCTTAATGTCTTTGCGATGTAAAAACCGCAGTGGGGCAGATTTTTGCGGTAGGCAAGTGGTAGGACGGTGCTATCAAATTGATTGTGGAGCGTGTACCTACAATCTGGTGGAACAGGCGCCGCGGCGGCCACTGCTCTGATGTACTTAATTGAACAAACCACCTGCAACAGCTATTATTACAGTATAACCACAGATTACAGAAAATAGAAAATGCCCGAGGGCCGCTTTCTTACCAGTAACTTAACTAGCCCAGTTATAGGTGGGCGCAGCTGCGACGAATGTGTATCACTCGTCTTCTAAACGGCTATTTATAACTATTTATTAATCCATCAATATATAGGTACTTACGTTTTATTTATTTAGTAGGTACCCGTACTAGTGTAGGCATTTCAGAGACAATAGTATATTTATATAGAATTCGTTTGTATTGATGTAGAAATTGTTTCGACAAGTACTCCGTTTAATGTCAACCGTAATAAATCCATTTCATTCGTACGTACGTGCATACTTTGACACCTATTTCAGAGTAATTTATTAGTTATTTTATAAGCATCCAAAGAGTAACTTAGGCGTTTCTCATTGGAACCTAAGGTAGCTTCACAAACTGACGGGACGGACAAACAATCCACAAGTGTTCGTCGTGCAGTGTTTTACGACGAATTTATGTGCATGAAATTAAATAGTTTTAAATAAAAAATAAAATCTTATTCTGCTACATGTAAAAATTATTTTCATTTCATGTATAATTATTTTGATGTCATACGTAAACAGCTTCAAGCAGATTATTACAATAGGTATATTCTGAAATCGACAGATGAGATTTTCTGTGCTTTCTCTAACTAGCTGCGAACGATCGAGTGACTGTGTGAATAGTGGCTAGGGTGAAATCGCTGGCAGCGTCCGCGCGGCTGCCGGACAGTGACAGGCGTGCGCGTGAAACTTTCAGTGATTTCATGATATTTTTAATCAGAATTACGATGAAATACCTGCAATCAAGTAACGATTTTCTTGAGATCCTTAATAAAATTGGGCGCAGATTGGGTTAGCCCGGCCGTGCGAAACTTATTAGTCGGTTACGCAAAAGCAATACTTGAACTAAAGCTGAAGTGTCAGTATGTACAAACATACACGACCTTGTGCCGTAATAAGGTGAAGGCCGCGCGTGGTTTCCTCTCAGCGCAGCGGGAGCGGCGCGCGGCGCACGCGTCCGAGTGAAAGATGCAGCCGGTGCAGTTCCGGCGCGGACGACGCTGCACTCGGTCACTGGGTCAGCCCCACTCGGCGGCGCCGCGGCCGGCTGGTGGGTGCGCGCGCGGTGCCGTACTGCGCGCGCTCACAGTGCTCGTTGCCATGGCTGGTGTGGCTGCACGCTAGCCCCATGCCCAGCGCCGCCCGCGCCTCCGCCGCGCCCTCGGCTAGTGCTCCTCTCAACGTCTTCTGTTGGTTGCAGGCCGCTGACTGACTGCACTGTGACCATGAAGAGGACCAGGTTGCTGCTGGTGGCCGCTGTGCTCTTGTTACGGGTGAGTCCACTTTCTTAATTACCCCAATAGTGAAAATAAGAGAAGTGTGCATTGTCAGCTATTTTAAAATTAATAAATAATCACTAGATCTTTTGCAATCGTGTCAGTCTATAAACAGCAACACTTTTAGAAACTGATGAAGTTATTCATGGTCAATTAAGTAGTTAATGAATGAAAATTCTAGTTAGCAGAATAATTTTAAGAAAGTTAGAATTGTTTTAGTGCACACTTTCCTATTTTCACAATAATTTAATTATTTTCATACAAACATAGAACCACTAACCATAAAGTAAGCTTTTAAACACGGTGATATTATGTGAAATAGGTAGAGCTATTAATTGTGACAACATTGTGCCGATTTAACGAGAGCCTTTGTAAAGACAAATAATGCAATTATAGCAAATTGTAGGATATTTCATGCCCACAGGGATAGGTGCATATTATTATGACATAGTAACATATAACTCCTAATTGAAATAATAACAGTTAGCTTCATGATGCTGGCAATCATCGGCCGCGTGCTGGCTCCGCTAGTCCCGCTAGGTGTATCAGAGCAGCTAACAGTCTGACCTGATCCAGGCACTGAGTATTGCTTATCCATGCCAATCACTAATTCAAACGCTAATGATAAAATAAGTAGTATCATCCATCTAACGCGTCCAGTTCTCGAAACAAAGATACGGTAATATTCTGTCGCGTCGCGTGACGTCCCGCATCACAAAGTAATGTCTACTAACATAATTTAAAGAATAACGTAAATAAGCGATGTTACATGGAGCGTGGCTCACTGCTCAAGTAGTGGGTAGTGCAACTGTGCAACTGTGCAACCACGTAAGTGTGGAAGGCACGCGGTGCTCTGTCGAACGCTTCTACATTATTCAGCTTTTTCCGCTCGCGTTCTCGCCAACTAGGCTAATGATTCCGTTAGCACATCCACAAAACAGTGGACCATTGGAAACTAACTGCGTATGCTGATACGTGTATTAAGTGCGTACCGGAGAAGCGAATTTAAATGCTGTTAATTGTTAAGCTTCACTCGCTTCATTACCATACGCGTTCCATCTGGACATACCGCCATACATATTATGTACGAAAGTTACCACGTTACAAGTGTGTTCCGTTAATTGTATTGGCGGCAGATACCTTACATAATGTCAATTTCAGTCTCATTCAATAAAACTTAAAAGGCCTCCAACAATGGAGCAGTCGTTGACCGTCGTGGTACCATCTTTTTCTACGAGCACTTTCACTGATATTTCGCATCTTTGTCAGGAAATGACGTAATCCGGTTGTGCAAGTGATTCCGTTTTTGACCATGACGAAGATCTCGCTAAATGTCTAAGAACAATCGAGAGTTATGTAGCCTTCAAATGTGTTGTAATAGTTACATTATTGTTGACATTAATCGTAATTCGATTAGTTAATAAACCGCTTATTAATCAGTGTTTAGTCTAAAAAGGAAAGTTCGTTTTGAGCAGGTTTTAATATCGAGCTTAATGTCACTTATAATCAATTTCATAATTCATATAACGCTTGTAAAAATATGATAATTTATTAAATTTTTTAGTTGATCACATAATCAAACATAAAAATAATCTTATGAATTTCTCTGAATACAAATGTTTATTATTTCTGATACATATGCTAATATTATTTAAAACACAGTTAACAAAATTTTACCTGGGTTACGCTAAACGGAATTTCGTTTGATTTGGTACTGGTTTGTCTAGGTCTTAAGAGTCAGGGCCAACTTGGAGACAGATACATTTATTATAAGTATGCTTTTTACGGTATTTATAAGGTATTTCAAAACCTAGTGTTAAAACTACGTTTAGGGTACGTACTCCGCCTATTTTTACAAATTGACTGGAGAAATTAACTGTCGTAAATAGTAATCGAGTTTGTCTCACTAATCCATGTTAGAAAGCAATTGTAAAGAATGTGTAAACTAACGAACGCTTTCGATTGTCGGTCGGATTCATAGGCTACAATGTCATTCATCGTCTATTCAAATCAACTCGCTAACTTTATTTATAAAGTTTTTTTTATCTTTATTTATTTAGGAGCTTTCATTAAAGTTTATAATGTCAAACCTTAAATTCCTTTCAGGCACAAACCTATAGGTTAACAGGTCTCATTAATTTTCTTTATCTGGTTTCCATACTTTCTCGATATAAGCGAAAGTGTTCACGAGGATTTGTGACTCCGCGTTCGAAGTTCAAGCACATGACATTTACCATGGTTAACTAACACCATGCCTGCCGCTTGCTACATACGCCTGCCGCATGTTTTCATGTCTATATGTAACCACATGTTCCTATAAAAGGTGTCTCAAAGATCACATTGTCAAAAACATTCGTTTTGTTTTGCGATGATTAAGACCTTTACACTTGTTTTCCTGTAGGATGAAATATGTTTGAAGCACTCACTTTGTGCCACAAATCAACTGACCTTTAAATTCTTCCTGAAAAGTACAATCAAATCATTTTTCCTGGTTCTTGATTAAGGTTGGCACCTAGTATATTTGATAGAATTAGACGAATGTGCATGATCATTGAGATTTATCCAGATTCTTCGAAAACAGTGTCTATAAAGCGGACGTTATGCACATGTATCCTATAAAGTCGAGGCTGACCAAACTCCGTTAAAAGAACTGTAAGCATTAGAAACAGACTTGGAGTACCGGTGAGCTGAGCAACTCACTAACGCAAACATTACTTTGGTTGTAATGTTATTTGACCAGACAGACTTGTTACAATGTCCGTGCCATTGGCGGATACAAACGAATTTTTTATTCTGTTATATCTTCGCTTCGTAGCATTTTTGCGGTATGTACTTGTGACAGTTATAAGTTGTATTGTGAAACTGTCATGAGTCGGACAGGTTGTGTCGTCTGATCGTGATCGTCGGATAGTGCACGCATCGAGCTGAGCGCTGGGCACACTTCCCACGGACTGGCACGATACAAATATTGTACTAGAAACAATACGAACCGCACAGGGAGAGCTGTGGGAGACAACGTGTACAATTTATTTCGTTCACATATCTCGTACTTACATCGCACATTTGTCATAATAATCTCATTTCAAAGTTCAGTCGTATTGGATTCATTTCAAGATGCTAATGAAGGTGATTATTAGGTAACTTTTACAATTATTCATTCAAGACATACAACAAGGACAAAGTTTGTCGCTACATGTAAATAACTAGGTATAACTTTTGACAACATCTAAGAAATTTGACGACAGTTGTATGTAAATTCCGCAAATATTTATGTAGGTATATGCAGAAACATAAATATTCTCCACCCTAACAGGTAGTTGTCACGTAGTTAAACAGAAACACAAACAAAAATCCGGTTCTACTCAATTCTCGTTCATTTAAACAACTTTCTTCTGACTCGTACTAATTTTTGTACTAAAGTATGTAGACACATCAGTTTACGAGCTTCAGAAACTCATCTTACATAACACGGAGAACTCTTCAACGCTTTTATTGCGATTTCATTTTGATAAAAGCTTTGCTTAATTTTATGTCAAAAGATTTTAATGAGGTACACTTTGCTTTCTTTATCTTTAATAGGTTTGACCCTAATACTTAAGTGGGCCACAAATGTAAATACATAAATTGTTTGGTAACGACTTCACACTTTTGAATTGGATACGTTTTCTTTCACTCTGTCAATAAAGTTATTCCAACTTTTGTGAAGCACCAGAAACCTGTTCCACACAGTTTATAATTTGTATTATAAAGATGTAAAAAATGTATGTATAAACTTCAGGTAATTTCATCTCATAAATACCTATATTTTCTTTATAAGTAGACTAACCCTGAAAGTAACAAAAAAAAAATATTTATTCAAACGCGTCTGCAAACTATTTATAGTTTCAGCCTGTTCAGGAAAAGCGAGTTCACATCCTCTAAAGCATCAGAATGTCAGTAAAAAGAATGTTGTGCGTGTCCTTGTGTACTATTTGGTGAACAATAATGCAACTCAGCAATTTGCGGTTACTAAGCCGCCACAAGAAAATTATATTTAAGAGCTCATTTCAAACAATTAAGAGCCTAAACATCTTTCTTCAGTCTTGCTGTATTTGCGTGTGTAGAAGTATTAAAATAAGCAAGGGGGAACAAATTCGGATATTTCGGGTGGAAGCGGATGTACGGACGGTGGATACTTTCACCTGCGCTCGCGCACGGCACCTGTCGTCTCTCGCTCTGGTGACGCGCGAGCATGCACCGGTAATCGTCTTTGTCCCAACCCACCAATTACATTACTTACTCTAATGAATAGTATACTAAAAACATGTAATATTGTGTTCTCGCAAGTTACTAGATTGATGTCCATAATCTAATATCAATTAAACTGTCAAATACCAAGCGGTCACCGGTGACCGCGACCTATTGTTCTTTAATTGTGTCTATAAAACCGGTACTCGACGAGTTAAAATAGGTAGGTACTGTTAAATAATAGGGAAAATTCGATAAATTGTCTTAGCTATAAATAAAGTTTTCAATAATGACTACTTTCCAAGTTTTCACTTATACAAAAAACTGGTGGACATGTAGTATCACGTCGAATCGATGCGTCAGTCTATTTCAAGTATAACACGCTCCCTAATGGAAACTGCCAAAGAAAGCTCTATATAGTTGTCAAAGTTGCGCATGTTTATAGGTCCGGTGTTTTCTTCCGCAACTCACAATCTCGATCAGTGGGTAATTTCTAACCGGTTTAGAAAACGCGAGCGTCGTCGCTACGCACCGGGCGCGCGGCGCTCCCGCTGCCAACCTGCCACTTGCTATTCTTACATACTAACGCCTATACCAAACGACTGCCTCATCAGCTCTCACGCCATATTTTTCTAGTCTACCATCCAAATACAGAAAAACCCAGTATATCGACCTGAACACCCATGCGTGTTGCAGTGCTCGGATAATATCAACTAGATCTTTGTCAAAGTTAAAATTTTAAAACATTCGATAATTAGTTTAAAAATCAGTTTTGGTTTTTTAGTTTAAAAACAATTCATGTTAAATTATATTTAGGTATGTTAAACTAAATAAGTACCGCTCAAAAGATCTGCTAGTATTTATAAAATATATCTAAGTATCGTGAAAGCATTCGTGTAATTCATCTTAGCAATATGATCGTACTGATTAATATTATAATTGCTCGTGCGAGCTATCCATCAGTGTAGAAAGTCGGAAAGAACGTAGCGCGCGCCGCTCGCGCTCGCAAGATGAGGCGAGGGCGCTCTGCGCACGCGCTCTCGTAGCGCGGAGTATCTAGAGTGAGACGCCTCTCAGGAATGTTCTAACGCTGTTATTATATTATGTGCAGTCGCAAACACTGTAGCAATGTGTCCACTACCATTATATTCCCGTATTTTCATGAGATACGGTACAAATTTAATGCCCCTGATTACCCCAATAATGTTAACCACACAAAAACTAATGTATGGCTTTCTTTTTCCAGGAAGCAACATGCGAACCTCCGGTAGACTCGGCTTCGTTGCCTTTGGAACATCGAACAGGGGCCGGTTACGGGCCGCCACTACCCCCCTCGCACACAGACGACCCATGGCCTCTGGCAACACCGGATAGTCCTAAAATAAAGCATCTACAAGTTCAATGTGAAAAAACACGCATGCGTGTCAATATAGAATTTGACCGTCCATTTTACGGTATGATATTCTCTAAGGGATTCTACAGTGACCCTCATTGTATGCATTTGAAGCCAGGAACTGGTCATCTCAGCGCCACTTTTGAAATATTCCTCAATAGCTGCGGAATGAGCAGTTCTGCAAATCACAATGTAGCAACGTATGGAAGTCCTACACCTAGCGGTTCCTACGTGGAGAACACTATCATTGTCCAGTACGACCCTTACGTCCAAGAAGTATGGGATCAAGCAAGAAAATTACGATGCACGTGGTATGACTTTTACGAAAAGGCAGTTACGTTCCGACCATTCCAAGTGGACATGTTACACGCAGTCACGGCGAACTTTCTCGGAGACAACCTGCAATGCTGGATGCAGATACAGGTTGGAAAAGGACCTTGGGCTTCAGAAGTGTCAGGCATAGTGAAAATAGGACAGACTATGACAATGGTGTTAGCAATCAAAGATGATGAAAACAAGTTCGACATGTTAGTGCGAAACTGTGTGGCACATGATGGAAAGAGAGCACCAATACAGCTTGTCGATCAATACGGTTGTGTAGTAAGACCCAAGATTATGAGCAAATTCCAAAAGATAAAGAATTTCGGTCCTTCAGCTTCAGTGGTATCCTTCGCATATTTCCAAGCATTTAAATTCCCTGATTCAATGAATGTACACTTCCAATGTGTAATCCAAGTGTGCAGATATAACTGTCCTGAACCTAAGTGCGGTGGACTCGGTGCTGATTATGGAGTTCCTTTGTTAGGTGGAAATACTCTGGGTGCCGAAGAATATGGTGTACCCAATTCTCCTCACGCGGAATATGGTCCTCCACCGCCAGCCCCTCATGGAGAATATGGCGTGCCACCTGCGTTCCCCGACCCGCGACATCCCGCGGATGCGACAGGATCCTTCTCAGAAAAACGCGATGACGCTGTACCACCTCCACAAGCACAAGTGTCATCGACACCAAATGCACCTAGTCCATCGTCACCAGCGCCCGCACGCGATGAAGATGAAGTGAACCTGCCTCCCCCACCTCCTCCAGGCCGTCGCGGCGTATACAACACAGTTAAAAGGAAAGATGACGCTCACGTTAATCTAGCAACATTAGGAGGAAGACCGCGTTCCGTCGAGGACCTTCCAGAGAGGTTGGTCGGAGTGAGGCGAAGACGAGAGACATCGACGCCAACAAGAATATACAAGCGTGACGCACAAGAAATGACTGACGTCAATACTAGTCGAACGATCCAGGTGGTGGCGCCTGGAGACGTGAACTTCGCATTAAACAATGCCGCGGCGAACGAGACCGTCGTCATTCAGTCTCCGGCGAGTGATCCGGAGACAATATGCATGTCGGTGCCGTCGTTCGTGGCGGGACTGGTTATGTTGCTGCTAGTGCTCGTGGTGGCCTCGCTGGTGGCCGCTTTCCTCTTCGTGCGCGTGCGCGCGCTCGACAGGAAGGGTGCGCACGGAGCGACCGCCTACTACGAGACGGATTACGTGAAGCACACTAATTAGCGGTAGAAGCGGTGCGAATGTGACGCGAGGACGATTCACAAACTTTACTCGGATCCAAAGAGCGTGCGCGTTTCGGCCCCGGTCGGACGGCGCGCGGGCGCTGTCGCGGTCGCGATCGAAGCTCGGTGACTGTGTCAGATATTTATTTAGTTTGTAATGAGCGTGATGTATATGTACGACTGTTTTTGTAAATTATTTTATTCGTGTGAAAAGCACCCTGTATCATCGCCTTGTAGTCGATACGTCTGTTGTAATTTTGTAAAGAGTCGTAAGTAAGGTTTTAATGTTAAGTTAAATATTAATTAAACATACCAATCAAACGTGTCTTGTGTGATGTATTTTTAATTGACCTTATATATGTTTGAGGCGCAAACACGTACTTAACCAGAAGGAACTAGTAGGTAGTACCTACCCAGCCTGTTTTGAACATAATCGCAAATCGATAAATATGTAGCTATATGTAGAAATGTATCTACATATGTATTATTCACGGACAGGTACAACAGTTGTGGGTACTAGTTACTAGGTATACTTACATCAGTCCGATTATTAAAAGTAAAAAGCTATTGCAATAAGTTTTTCTTTTAATAACCAATGGCTTAACTGACAACAATACATAAATAAAAATTGTCAATAGCAAACAAATTCTCTTCTATGAAGTAAAGTTAGACACATATAAAGAAACAAGTACAGCGTGTGTATGAATATTTAAATCTATCACCAGCGAGCTCGGCCACTACTATACTAACTTACTCTTTACATAGTCTTATCTCCAAGGAGGTAACTTCTTCAGACCACCAGGCCTAGCTTGTCGGTCGTGGCGAATCAAGGTCATGCACGAAGGGTGGTCCTCTCTCTCAGGACTCCTAGTACTGCTACACAACAACCTTAACCTCATATCATTGCTTTCTCCTATAATATCTATTAAATCCTGTCAACAAATACAAATCATTAGTATTTCTAATATGATAATAATAAATAATCTGACTACAGCGTAAGCCGAGTTTAGAGCAGAGCCAAGTAATCTCGGGTTAGAATCCCGGGTTAGACAATTTCCTTGTTTCAAGTTCGAAATTACCTATCTAGTTAACTAGTGTTAACTATTCTAGTGTTAACTAGATAGGTAATAAGGATAGGAACTGCCTAACGGCAGTACTAGTACCACATAGTGTAAGTTAGTGTTGCTTCTGTTTTCTGCTTACAGGTATCTCTTAGTTTCTTTTTATATTTATAGCTCAAGGGCAAAAGGCTTCTGGACAAAGTATAAAAAGCAATAGATTAACAATATGAATGGGTTTGACACCTTACATCCTGGAACAAGGGAAGATCCACTGCGACTGTTCTTTCTGGCCGCTTCAACCGACAGATATCAATTCGTGGCAGAGACGACTCGGCTGAGGTGCACTCAAGGCTAGTGGGCGTCACATTGGGCTTACTGGGGCTTAACGAGCTTTTTTTACGAGTGCCTGGTTTGGGATCTGGGCTGTGTGAGCTTAATTTGCGCGGATTAGAGCGGCTTGAGATTTCACAGCGTATGACAGTGCTGCAAACAGCAGGGCTGCGAACATTCGGGCTGCGTGGCGAGCAGACGGCAGTTGCGCGGCTTCGCGAGTTTATACATCGCGGCAGCGGGCTCTGAGGCGTCTTTGGAGCCTTACACTGGCAACCTCTGCTCACGCTTGGCAACGCTGACTTTGTTTGAGTGCTCTTATTCTTCATCACGTGACGTGGCACGATAAATTGGAACTAAACATTCAGAAATAAAAATTATTGAATTGGAAGTGAATAATTATGTTATTTCAACTTATTGAACTTATTAATTGAAAAGGTTGTTCTATAGGAATGTCCATCACATACAGTACAGTGCGAGTTCCGTAAGTAAAACTTTCGTAAAGTTAGTTTGGAATGGTAGAAACTTTGGCAGTGGCGTACATAATGGTCGCGAGACGGCGATGGTGGCGAGGGCTGCGCGCGGTACGTGCGGCACAGCCTGGGCACGCGCCGGCTCGGTGAGGGCTGGGCCTCGGCCTGGGATCTGCGATGTCTCCTACGGTTGCGTGGCCGCTCCAGCTTCTTCTCTTCACAATTGTGCGATTGAGTCTAGAAAATATTAATCTTTCACTAAACAAAACACTGATTACAATATTTCATTTTAATTATTTAATCTAAAATAAAATAATTCACTAATTCGTCATTCAATCTGTTTTCAACGAATTAGACTATAGGTATTGTATGCGTAGTGGCTGGTCAACCGGCTATTGCTCAACGTACCTATTGTGAACGAACAATATTAATTAATTGTTCCGAAACAATCATGTTATGTAAATAAATATAATAACTTCTTAGCGTGTATTGCACACGCGCCACAAGAAGAAGTCCCACTGTGTGGGTTCACGTTGAAAAACCGTTTAATGGGTAAGTGTGTACACCTGTACGTACAGTGTTAGCAATAAGACATTGAAAATAATTAACCTGTGCGCATTCGTGAGGAGTCTGTGGCACTGATAGCAGCGGCGACAGGGGGCGACGACGGCTGGGCATGTGCAGCCTGGCACACCGCGCTCTCGATGCAGTTGGCAGCGTTGAGCAGCAGCCGGCAGAGCTCGCACTCCGTCGCGGATGATGCTGTCCGTTACGTCATAAAACCCATTTACTTACAAAAAACCTACAATACGACTCCAAACAATCAACTGTCACATGAACGAACCTAAATAAAAGGTATTAAGTAAGTATTGGCTTTTTCTCGAAATAATAGGGTTAAAAAATAAAATAGTACCTATATAACGATGAATTTATACAAGTAGGGTAGATGACAACTAGTCAATTTACTTTTAACGGAATGTTAAAGACGATTTCTATAAACTTCTTTCATAATGAAATAATTATTCAAAATTAAACATCGTTATATCAATTAATGAAAGTATTGTAATTTTTGAATGTTTTATTGTATAAAAAAGCCGAAATATTATATTTTTGACTAAGGAAACTACCCAGTTGTAAAAAATGTAGATGCGTGCACTACTACAAAGTAGGTACCCATTACGGTGAGTTACTGTGAAGCTTGTGCATGACAAACAACAGTAGCGATAATGTGGGATGTCGGAGCTGGAGCAAGGCTCGTACATCGGAGGCAGCACCTGGGTCGAGGTGAGAGCAGCCGGGCGCTGCAGGCTCTGTGGGCACTGGAGGCGCGGGCGCGGGCGCGGGCGCGGGCGCGGGCGCGGGCGCTGGCACGCACTCGTGGTCCCCGCCCGCGTTGCTACCGTGCACGTGGAGCTTTATATTGTTGCGTACCAGGTGCGGCTTGATCTCTTCAAACCACACGTCACATAACTAAAACCACAACAAACGCCATCTTCAAATACTTTCTACAATACTTTTGATTTAAATTGTTACGCTAAAACTTTGACTTAGAAGCAGGTAGGTATTATCACCTACTGTTTTATTGGAAAACAAGCTTCTGTCTTTAAAAACCTCCCGTAGGATAAAAAGCCTATATGCTAGTCCAGACTACTTATAATGTATCCCTGTTCCGAATTTCATCGCGATCCCTTCAGCCGTTTTAACGTGTTTGAGTAACAAACGTATCTACATATGTACACAGTTACACACAAACACAAACTCACGAACTCGGAAAAAAACACAACTTTCGCATGCAGTACCTATAATATTAGCAGGATTTTGATATTTTCATTGTTATGCATGGCGCTGGCAAAACCTTCTCAGTTAACAGTTAGGTAAGCTCAATAGGAAGGTACCTACCTACTTAGTAGCAAAACAACAATTTTTATTTAGTAGGTATGAGTAGGTACTGCCATTAAATTTATTGATTTGACACACATTACATTTAAGACACCTATACAGATTTACACCTCGTAGTTACTTGTCGAGAGAGACCAAATATTGTTTTATATTTTTCTTCAGGCACTTACACTAACTAAAGCGTTCTCCAAATCGTAGCGCACACTTTTGGGTATTTTGTTTTTACTCCTACTTCGTAACGGTTCTGGGTTCGTGCGGACAGTGCATGCGACGGAGTCACCGGACGCCTTGGCGAGCGATCCGTCTTCGCTAGCGACCACTTTACGTATCCGTGGTAGTGACATTATTACGCACGCAGCGTAGTCCTCACCATTGAAATATCAAAACGAAGTGAGTAATGCACAAATCTACACTATCCAATCCTTTGCTTAAAAATCATTAAAAATAAGATTATATAAAATAAATGTCAAAACCTGCACTTTCAACTGTTCTGTCAACCACCTACATTTTTTTTATTACGTAATAAAAATAGACTAGGAACATTACATCCATCGACAAGAAAAAGGTAAAACTTACATTTTATACTTTTTTGTGTGGGTACACAGGAACTATAATGGCATACCTACCTACAGCAATTTTTAATTAACCCTTGGAAACTTGATTGATCCAGATTATTAAAGTTCCTGCTTTGATCGATATCAAAAACGACAATGAATAAATCGACATGGAAATGTATACTGAGTGCCGGATCGTCGAAAGTTTTTGGCTTCGGCTTGAAGATGCTGGAGATAAATATTTTCAGAAACGTGGAGCCGTCCGACACCGCGATCAATGAAGTATTGTTCTATGGAGCCGGGGACGGGGACGAGAAGCAGGTGAAGCAAATAGCGCAGAACAATCTGTATTGTATTCGGTTCATAATCGTAAACGCCAGTCAGACAGTAGATGTATGCGTGCCCAATCTCAGCAGCGAGACCCTCGCCAAGTGTTTGGTGACAGTCCATCAAAACAATAAAGTGAAAATCAGAATTGCGATACACAACAGCGACGATGACGACTTGGAGAATCTGCAGTTGTTTGCTAAGAATGGTGTAGAAGTAAAGGTGCTGAGCCCCGAGGTGCGGCTGGAACACGAGTTCGTGCTGGTGGACGCGCGCGCGGCGGGCGAGGCGGTGGCGGCGCTGGGCGCGCTGGACCTGGAGCCCGACTGTCTCGCCAGCGACGCCACGCTGCTCACCTCCGAGCCCAGCGTGCTCACCGCGCTGCGCCGGGAGTTTGAACGAGTCTGGAACTCTGACTCCGATGTGACACGTGTGCGCTGCGACTGATGATAATCATAATCCATTCAAATTCCTCGTGTGTTTGTTGGTATTATAGTTAGTTTAAGAGTTGATTATTCTGATTTTATTTAATGATTAATATACTGTAATTGTCGGTTATATGAATAAAAGGTAGCAAGTTAACAAAAAATACTTTTAATTTCATCGCTCGATGAGACAATAATAATTGCTTCTTTACATTATTTGACATTAATATTATAGTAAGAACTATAAAACGTTTGTACTCCAGTGCCGTTATTATTCTAAGGATCGATAGTACATAAATATATAAAACTTCTATTGTGACATTTATAAATGAAAGGTGACAACAGTATCACAGTTTACTTTGTAGTCATATCATATTTTATGGACAACTAATGGAAACGTTTCATAATATTCATTTTGTTCTTAATTTTAATAGTAATTTTCATGTCTTTTATTACAAGTATTATATCATTAATAAAGTCATATGTAAATTATAAAAAATATCTTGATTGCTAATAACATTGAAACAATAATACAACGACATTAACTGGAGGAATTAATACGCAAGGTTGTATGTACTTGTGAACGGTAACGGTAATAACAAGTCGGTGACACGCACATCCAGGAAACAAGTATTTACAAACTATCAATAGTAACATTTCCTAAAGAAATCAGATTTAAAAGAAATCTTTGGGAAGACCATTATTTTATGATATCATACAACTTGGTATCTACTTGCAACATGTAACGATTCACACTTGACACAATTCCATATACACACAAACAATAATACATTCACATAAGATTGACATAATTTCAATGCATTCAGCCCGTACCGAGACGATTCTACAAAATAATACATGTTTAGATCATTTTTCTTAAATATAAATGTAGTAAAATATATTTTACAGAATTAAAAAAAAACAAGTAAAATGCTATCAAGCTAATTTGTAAAAGCTAGTCACACTAAGTATTCTTATGACAATCATACCATAGAGGATAAAGTTTATCTGAGAACATTAATACTAAAATTAACTACTATGCTGTCTATGTTCACCGAGTTAAACTAATTTGTCACATACTCAACATCAGACAATATACTTTGGATATTTAAGTACTCAATTAAGTATCTACTAAACCTATACACACAATGTCTATTATATTAAAATTCGATGGACCCAACAAATCATTCCAGTCGTGAAAGATAAGAATTTTCCCAGCTTTAATTCAGGCAACCAATGTGTAATTAGTATCTCAGCATACAACAGTTGAACATACGCCGGCGCCGTCCTAGAGCATTGTCGCAGTAACTAGTAGTGAGACTCGCAGCCGAGCCCCGCGCCCCGACCGTCCGCGCGAGCAGGCACCCGCCTAGTCACTCGCGAGGGACAGCTCGTGTCATACGTCCACCTCGATGTCGCTGTTCATCTTGCGACGCCGGCGACTGCGGCGACTGCTCCTGCTCGTCCAAGTCTTGCATATCGTCATGTCGTGCATTTCATGCATGTCCTGCATTTCGTGCATATCGTGCATGTCGTGCATATCGTGCATATCATGCATCTCCTGCATGTCATTCATATCGTGCATATCAGTTGGAGAGGCGAGTGTGTACTCGTGCGGCGAACTCAGTTCCTCCTCCCCTGAGCCGGCAAACTCTTCATCCATCATTATAGTGGCTGGTAGTGATGGAGACACTTCTTGTAACTGACTTGTGTACACTGAAACACAATGTGATTTTTTTTATACACACCAATCATACTATTATATAGTGAGATAATTAGATGACAAATAATAATTGTGTCTAATAAGGAAATAGTTTATTTAACATAATATCACATTAACAAACAAACAAACAAATATATTTATTTCCATTTTGTTCACATATACTTAATCTAAGCTTATTATTTAACTATTCTAGGTAAGTTATACAATGCCTGTATCATCAAACACATTACTGCTGACCAAAGACCTCTTTTCGCATGAGAAGGTTTGCGCATTAATCACCACACTTGCTCAATGCAGGTTGGCAATTTCAAACTTATAATATTTTCCTTCACCATTTGTCAGTGGTGTCTAAATAATCTTAGAATATTATGCATTTAAGTATATTGTGGGTTACCTTTGATATTGGAAGACTTGAAATCAGCAGAATAATTGAGAGATTCCTCCATAGCCTCCATGGTGAGAGTGTCAGTATCCAGGCTGTCCAGAGATCCAGAACATGATGGTGAAGTATCAGGATTTGTATTGAGTGTAAGCTGTATATTGTCTAACTGAGGTATATGTGGCCGTACTGTAACATATATTAGTCATTTCATTATTTACAATGACAAAGGAAGTAAGTGACAGCATTATTAAATATGTAGGTCAATAAATGTACAAAATTATATTATTGTTATCACAATTCAATATTACCTTCATCCCATCAGGTCTGTGAGGATTTCTACATCCTTTACACTTGCACTCTGTGCATGGCTTACTCTCTACATAACATGGACACCGCTGCCCACAACATGTTAGTTTTCCCGGAGTGGCTGTGGCATTACCACATCTGCAACCTTTTCTCTTACTGCTAGCTGAACTACGAGACCTGTTCGAGGGTTTCTTAAAACCTAATTGGCTTGACTGAAACAATAAAATGTAATTATTAATTAACTTTCTGCTTAATGTGTGTTTGTTACAGCAATTTTAGAGTATGTTGTGAAAAATAGAAGAATGCTATTTAATAATTTTCTTACTTTACTTTCCCGACTCGACCCTGATTCATGTGCATCTAAGTCATCAACATTTTTTCTTTTAATAGTAATTTTATTTCCAGAGCCTGCATACATAACTGAGTATAATGGAGACCCATTTGATGTTGATCTAGAGTTTGGTGAGCCTTTGGATGACCTGCTATCCGAGTTGTGTGAACTTGATGCAGCATGGGTTTGTGTGCCTGCAGAGTTAGTGTACACGCACGGGAGAATGCTGTACGCCGACTTCGACAGACCTGCTGTGCTTTTGTAGTCATCAGAAAAACCAGCACCTTCTTGTATTAAGTCAATTAACCCTGAACTGGCAACAGTGCCACCGTTTACGCCTGCGGCAATTTCGTCTTCATCCAACAACGTCTTGTACACGTCTGTACCCATAAAATACTCGCACAATTTCTTGTAACACTGCAGGAGGATGCGTAATTGCAAGTTCTCACCATAACTTTCATAATCTTTACACCAACTACAAGAAGGTTTTAGCTTTTTCCGTCCACCTTTACATTTTTTGCAAACATGATGTTGGCAGCTGGCGCTTGTTGGCGTATAAGGTTCTTTTAATAAGTTTCCACACACTGTACAAGATAAAGATTGTCGTAAATAAGGAACTAAACGAAATAAATCAGTCCACGACGACTTATCTGCTGCGTCAGCTAAGATTATTAATCGACACGTAGAAACATATAAACTAGTGGCATTCATTGTTATTACAGAAAATATAACAAGGAGAACATTTACTGATTTATAAATTAATTTGTTTACACCAAGGTGCTACACAACCAAAAAGCCGCAAATGTCTCGTCAAAACTGTCATTGTCAAATGCCAAACTATAGAATAGTCAGAATTTTAATTAGATTCCAGATTTGACAATAGCTACTGTCATTTTGTGAAATAATGATACCACATATAATAGTGTAGTGATGCACACAAAAATCGATAAACAATCGGTGTGTGTGTTTTATAATAAATGTTACAGAAAGTGACAGGATAGCGATAGCCATGACGGCGACAATTTATAAAATAACTTATTACAATGATACATCTATCTGTTTCATTTGTCATGTTCCTTCATGATTACATTTTTTTATTTATTTCACACACAATTATAAAAGAAAAGTCTCAGATCGTTAATTAATCGTCAAAACTAAATTATCGGTTCAGAAATATTTAATTTCCTGATATACTTAGTTTACAAGAGTAAAATTATAAACGAGAAGAATCGATCCAGAAATATTGCATTTCCATATCGACTAATTTCGCAACGTCACTATTTAGTACTTGTCATAACGTTGCAACACTGAAATTGTCAAATCTGGAATCGAATTAAAATTCCGAGTATAATATTTCAGTAATAGAGTAGCTCGTTGAATGCACTTAGTTATTATAGTCGATTTACACATTCGTCTTTATCTTACTAGTTTCTATTAATGAAGAGTGTGTTTGTTCGTTTGTTCTTATTTTACTTCGTAATGGAGTGATTTTATGGTTAAATGTTTGTAGTATTTGGAGATAGTTTGAATGCTCGACGTGAACGAGGACATAGCCCAATTTTCTTTACCCAATCAAATGAAGCCACGGATAATAAAGTATTCGCGTTATTACTTAGCATCAACAGTAATAATAAATATGTATTAATTTCCTATTTTAGTTTCTATTATCAAAAATAGTAATTTGATAACTTTACCCAATATCTGTCTGGAAAATAATTTTATTCTTAAAATACCAGTTCTCGAACTATAAAATATGACGAGCGAAGCAACAGTGAAAAATTGAAAATACACGATCACAAACTCTAACATTAAACACATTTAAATAGTGGTCCAAATGAGGTTTTCACTTAATTTATAAATTACAGCAAATTAAAGTAAGTACTTGTGGTGATTTCGACCTAATACGGTATACCGTTAATACGTCCAAGCAATTTCAATTAGTAGGTAAACTAATTAACATTTAACGAACTTATAACATTCATTTACCTGCAAAGCTGGTATTAACTATATAAGGTTCAGAAGAAAAGTCTTAACAGTTACCTGAGTACCTAAAGGGTTCAACTCCCGGTTTGGCCATGTAAAGTAGTAAATCGAGATTGTTTCTAGTACCTAGCTATTTATGGTACCTATTATCGAGCGTACCTACCCTCAATAATACAGGTGAGTCATAATAAGTATCTCACAAACTAAATACCTAATGGAAGTTTGTGTGCATTAGATCACAATATAGGTTTGTGCCTCTCTTCATCGCTCTAATAATCTAATCGTTCAAGTATGAAAAGGAATGATTTATAGCTTAGTGGTGTGATGTACCTATCTATTTTATGACCCTTTAACGTGGAGGTATTTCTGTGCGACGAAACTCCGAAATGTCGTCGTATAGTATTTATTAGTGTACCTATTAATAGTCGGTATTCACCTAACTAGGCAATTTGGTACCTACATATAACATTTTTTTTTATCTTTATTAAACGTTGCCCCACATTAGGATTTTCTCCTGTGTCGTGGGTACCTTTACAAACATACATGTTCACATACACAACATCACATCCAGACCCAAAACAACAATTTGTGGATCACACAAAGTGTTATTCCGTGCGGGAATCGAACCCGCGACACGTTGCACGGCAGCCGGTTGCCCAGCCACCGCACCAACCGTGTAGTCAAAATAAATTATCTAGGTATGTACTTTAAGTATCGAAACATTAATATCCCGTATAGCCTAATTCCAGATAGGCCGCCGGTTTTCAGCGACCGGCATCTAGTGCTGCCTGTGACGTTTAATCATGTCGTCTGTTCATCTTGTTGTCGTCCGTGGTCTATCTAGAAGTTATTGGGGAAGGTCTATGTTTACAGTGGACATCTTGTATCTGACATAATGAAGATAATGATACGATGGCCTAATTTTCTTCACCTTACTTATAGGTAGCCTGTTTCCCGAATAGCATAACCGAATGTTTCCAGAATTTGTAGTTAAACCTGTACGGCCCCAATCGGCAAAAGTACAATAAGTAGTTGTTACTTAGGCGTTTATTTTTCTTCGTTCTTATTATGAATTTCCAATTCTTAATGCCAGTAAACGGTTTTGTGGGTATCTGGTAGGTATTTAACAACAACTTATCCGTTAGTACTTACTTATAGGAACTATAGGCAGGTAAGGTGCTTACCCCCTTCTGAAAATAATAGACGTGGGAGTGTAGTTTTCTTACTGAGCTAGGAAGGTTACTCCTCCCGTTACTAAAGACGTTTTATTTATGAGCAAGATAAGCATTCTTTTGCTAATTAACAGCGAGCGCTTCACAAGATGCGAATAAATGACACGACGACTAAAGCGACCGTTCTTACTCTATTATCCAATTGAAAGCACTTAACAGTCAGCTTCTTGCCGAGCGAGGAGACACCAACTGAACAAATGTTGTGGTGACCTCGCCACAACTAAACAGTCTGCATCTACAGATAACTATGTGTCATAATGTATTCGTCACGAGTAAATTAATTAATACATTTTTTGAATCCATTTAAATGTTTTGCCACTTATCTAATGAGCTCGTTATAAATTCATTACGAGAATTCTTATCACCATTTATTGGACTTCATATCAAAACAAAGACGTCCATTTACTTGACAAACATAGAAACTATTACAGAATAAACATAATCGACGAACCAATCGTAGCATTCAGATACGAGCGGTATCGCATAGTGGTAGCAACCTATCTGGGCCGAACGATCGCGGCCCGCGCCTTCATTGTCTCACAGCAGTGGTGAAACTAGATACAGGGTGCTTGGGCGCAGAAGGACGTGCTGATAACAGATTACAGCGTCACAGTATCAGTTGATCCTCCGCCGCGGCAGGAGCTCCTCACCGCCTCTGCTCTTGACGACATCGCGACATCTGACTGACTGTGCATGCGACTAAACTAATTGAATCAATTCAACGAATGTCTTCCGTCGCTGATTGCAGCTCCCTAGTGCCCTCTCCGTGTTATATTAGTACACCGCGAGATTCGACTCTATCCGCAGTGTTAGTGTTGTGAATAAGTGCTGGTGATGTGATATACCACAAGGTGGATACCTGGACCTGGATATAGTGTGAATGTCTACTGAAAGCACAATGAACAGGTAATTTGTTTATTTCTCGTATCACTCCAGGCTATCCAATTCTTTTTATGATGTCGAGTACTCAGAATCTGCCAACTCCAGGTCCATCTTGTACTCACATACATACACAGGTGTATTGATGTTGTAGGTAGATAATATATTATATCCTTGCTAGATATCATTGACATATTTTCGTGTTTATTTAGGTAATTTAGTGGAAAAGGATATATTGGTCCACCACACACAGGTTTGTTAACTGCAGCCTGGAAAACTAAGGTTCAGTAAAACTAGGTCGATTACCCAGTCGACACTAATTTAAGTAAAATATAATAAAGGTAGGAATTCCACATGTGATTATTTCTTCTAAATTAGTTTATCAGTTAGTTTGATAACACATTATCATTCGTAATTACCTCGTTCACGAATTTCTGATTGTGAAATCAAATGATTGCATTCAAATTCCCATTGTATTATTCTAATAACTAGGTAAAAGTAAATACATTATTGTTACACCAAAGATTATTGTAATCGCCTACCAATAATGGCCACATTTAGAATTTCCTTACTTACTCATACTAAATAGAAGTACTTTACTTTTTACGGTTACTAAACTTAAATATTCAAACTTCGGCTAACTTAGTAAAGCAGGTTCGGTAGGTAGGTACCCACTTAATATCGATGATGTGATGCTCCATTACAAAAGTAATGAAAGAAAAGTTTTTAGTTTTTTGGAAATCATCTGTACAAAGATCCGCATCATAAACAGCAAGATTATTATGTCTAGAAGGTTTTAATTTCGTTTAGTCTCTTACTATTAAGTGTTAGCCTAAATACCTGTTGTTCTGTGGTTACATAGGAGTTAGTGAATTCGTGAAAATGTGAAATCACAAGTCTATATGTTCCGGCTGACTCATCAAACAAAATACGTGTGTCGCGTAGATCTTATCAACATAACATTTATTTCGTAAAGACGTCAAGACTAAAGATTAGGTTCGTTAGTCAGTGCGTTTACAGCTAAATTAAATACCTGAAAACATGTTTTGTAACTGAAAACGAGGACACTGGGCTGACTGATTGTATTTACGTAATATAAGTAATGAAAACTGAAGCAAGAGTCATCTATCTGCGATTTATGACTACATGTATCTCTATGAAATGTATCTTTATTATGTATTTACATAGACTGCCTCGGTTATCAAGTGGTCGCACGTATAGGATTCGATTTCCAGGCCAGGCAAAGGGGATAAGTATAGGCAAATTTTGGGATTTTTTTAAGCAAAGCGTCTGGATTTTTACCCAGTGTATACCTACGGGAATAGAGGAACCAACCACAGGCGCATCCACATTATTATACGAGTAACAGTTGAAGAGTAGGGGGAGTCCGGGAGAGTTTATCCACCTTTGACTAAAATGCTCATAAATCACTTTATATTTACAATATATAATTTTCTACAAATTGTACACTAAGCTGCATTATTAAGCTTTATTTTTTTCAAAGAAAATTTTATAAATCAATAATACTTTATAAATAATTAACGATTTTTACCGAAATGAGATTTGGCTAATATCTCCCGCCTGGGTGGGAGACTTGACCCGCAAAGAAGGGAGACTTTACCCGGGTTTAAAACTAGGCAAAATAAAAACAACTAATTATAATTATATAAATAAATTTATTGAAAAAACATAGCACATAATAAAACGTAGTAAATGAGAACAAGAGCTACATAGTTGAGTATCTTTGACATACGGGTAGTGAAGAATTAAATACTTATCTCATATCACAGTAAGTGTTTATAAACATTTATCATTTGAAAATCTTTCTAACATAGTTTATAACAATATAATTAAGAATTTTCACAACCAACAGTTACTTTATAAAAAAACAGTCTTTCTACAGCAAATTATCTTAAACATTTAACAATATCTTACCAATATGGAGAAAAATGCTAACTAATATAGGCTAGGTATCTTTGTAGCAAACATAACAGTCTAAACCTATTATATCTGTGTCATAACTAAAAAAATAACTAAGACAAATAGTAAAAACGCTAAAAGTAGGGCACAAAATAAACAGACTTTCAAAACTAGGAACAAAAAAACTCAAAAAAAAAAAATCTTCGAAAAATCTCATAATCACCAGTCTTCCTTTTTTCGTTGGATCAATTACAAAACTGTTCCTTATTTTCATTTTTAACAGCATATTTCATGGACATTTTTACCACAAAAAGCGCAGTCTCATATCCATAACTTCGTTTTCTCCACAGATGAAACAATACCAATTATTTTGTATTTCATTTCATGAACTATCAGAGCTATCGTCATATTTGGGCTTATCTTCAAGGTCTGTTTCACTGGCACTTGACTGTAAAAGTTGTCTTTTTGCAGACTTTTTCATTGCTCTACCTATTTGTTTCTGTTTAGTTAATTTGATTTTTTTCTCAAACTCAATTCACTTTCTTCTTCTAAATCCTCTAAACCAATCCATTGCTGCGCAATTGTTCGATGTCCATAAAGCTGGGACCTTTTTGGAATTACTGGTTGTTTTTTTGGACACTTACCTGAAATAAAAAAACAAAAAAAAAATGGTTGTCTGTAAAGTTCAAGGGAAACAGAGGGAGAGATTACCCTGGGTAAAGCCCCCACCCGCCAGGGTAATATCTCCCACCCCACACCAAGCTGTCTGTTATTCAATTTCTAAAAAAAACTATAATATTTAAATAAAAACTGTCTGTTGTAAAGGTTATAAGGATAATTACACTATAGATATATATTCATGACACGCTGAAATCTATAAACAGTAAGCAATAGCACCCAAATCTCAAAAATTGAAAAAAATTACTTACCGGGCACAAAAACCTGTTTTCACGTGTTACTCGAAAACAAAACTGCCGATCGCAACGCCGCCACGTGAGCAAGGTGGGAGGGGACTATGAGTTTTAAGAAGTGTGGCAATTTTGAAATATCTAGTTATACAGAGATTCTATGATCAGTGGCTATTGTCTCCTCCCTGCTAAACTCTCCCGGACTCCCCCTACCTCACCTCTACCTAATTTTTCGGGGATTAAAAGATATTTTTCGATGATATCAAAGATAATTTCAAAATCGATGTTTTATTCTTGGATTAAAGATGAAAATCTTTTAAATCGGCATACTTATTTACCAAAGAAATAAGCATATATAAGTTACAGTGCAGCTATTTTTTCAGCTGTAAATATTGTCTAACAGACCTATTGTAAGTTATCACATCACTGAAAGTTTGAAATTAACTTCATGTCTAGATGTCGGTAGTTGTTCGTTCTGCACTTTTACTGTAATTTCTTACATAAACAGTAGTTACTACGTCTAACATAAAACTACAGGGAAAAAACTATGTTTAAGTTTTCCTAGGTCATATTATGTAGGCCAGTGTAGGTTCCCTTCATGACTGTACTAAATAATACAAATGTCTTGCCTATTATGCCTTGTATCTTTCGGAGTTCAAATGACACGCATGAGAACATTGAGAACGTCATATTCCGTGCCCCGCTCTCTGGATTAATGGGTGTGTGTGGTCTATCCCTTTCTAAGATTTACGTTTTATCATTACATTGTCTGCCTACCCCTTCGGGGATAAAAGGCGTGATGTTATGTATGTTATGTAATAACATGTAATAACATTGTGTTATTTGCTAGGATAATGTAATTGTTAGGTAGATATAGGATATTCGTATATAAATCTAATTAATTCCACTTAAGGAGCAATTCTTGTATGTATCTGTACGTAACTATCAAAGAACTCGGAAACGGCTGCAATGATTTCCTTGATATTTTGTATTGAGGGTTTCGGGGATGATAAATCGATCTAGGTTTTATTTTCAGAAAACATCGTTTATTAAAAAAAAACACCGAACAAAACACAACAAAATCCTGGTATTGATTGATAAACACTCAAATAAAAATCATCGAAGCTTTGCAATGTCTAAAACTTTGCAACATATTTTGTCCTTAGTTTTGGAAGTGTTTACTGTTTACTAGAAGGGCCTGCCATACGCATGACTAAGCAATCAATCTGGTAATGGCTCATTTGAATCAATCCTTTCTGGAACAACAGCGGCAGGGCAGGGGCGTGGACTGTGCGGAGTGTGGGCACATCATAAAGATCAATCAGACAATTGGGGCCGCCACGCTTGCTGCGCAGGAGTGTCTCTCAATAGCTTCCGTTGAATGAACCTATCGGCGGACGCTCAGCACAATCACCTGAAATTTCAATGTTTATCGATGACGATTATATTTGTTTATACTTCCTTGTAAATTGGTAGATTTATTGTAACTAATCTTAGAATCTTTGAGACAACAGTTTGCAAGTAATCGTGTACTTACTTAATAATATTTTGAGATCATTATCTGTTTAATTACTGGGTGGACTATTGTATATGCCACTTATACTTATTTACTTTAACTACCTGTAAACTTCATAGAGTCGTACGTGGACAATCTCGAGACTAAGTGCTCATTTATTACCAGTATTTGAATCTTGAAGTTGTAAATCACAGCTTTTATGAGGTAAAATTTTCATTAAATGTAGATATCCACTTAGGTAGAATCAGTCTAGAATTTCTGATCTCATGCATAAAAGTGTATTGGAGTTCTTGAAATAATTATGTATAGTTGTTTTGTTTATCGCAATGAATCATTTCGTACTTCAATTCTCCTTCTTACTTCCAGCTATCGGGAGAGTCCAAGTCACCAGTTAAAAGGAATTAATTTGACCTCTCTGCAATTAAGATAGTTGACAGAGACCCCGGGATAACCACTGGATACTGCGATGTATCGTCATTCGCCATACTTACCTAAGTACATGTTCTGTGAGCTGTTTGTACCTATCTAGTGTTTTTATGGTCTTAGTTGTGTGCTTAAACAAATAATAATGTGACAATCCTGACGTCTAATTTGTGGGGATACTGATGGGTGTTAATAGTTTAATACATCTTCTGCATCTTCATAATTATGTAACTAACTGAAAGTTGGCGTAGCTACGAATG